GGGCTCTGGGCTCCGATTTTGCACAGCTTGCCCACCCTTCAGCTACTCGGAGTAGTCGGCTTCGTGCAAGCTGCGTCCCTCCGAAACAAATCCTGGTTGCCATGTACTCACGCCTTCAGGAACGACTGCAAATCTTCCGAAGTACCGGCTTGCGAATTGGACGTAGCAGTCGCCAGACGAGCTTGAGGTCCGGCGAGACGCACAGAGTCCCACTGCACGCCTTTTCCGGCAAACAACTCGCTCGGTTTTGGAGCAGGAGCAGCGGTGGGGTCCTTTGCGGTCTCGGACGTGGGACTTCCCACAGCTGGCGCAGTGGAGGAAGCAGGGATGGTAGGAAGACCAGAAGGTACGACTGCACCGTTTCCATTCAGCTGGCTGACAGAGCTACGCTTGGTCAGGTGTCCATTGCCAGCTCGTCCAGTCCCATTCGTCTGCTTGGCAGAGGTCACTGAGCCGCGCGATGGGCTAGTAGGACCAAAGTCGCTCCCTGCAGCAGGGGCGGTGCCGGTCGATGAAAGAGAGCCGCGACGGCCCTTCTTATTGCGTAGGCTAGCAAAAAGAGGCATTTTGGCTGGCGACGGAGACGAGCCTCACTTTGCGATTCTTGTAGCTGGCGCTAGAGTTGAATGTGGTGACACAGCTGCGTGTCTGACCGGTGCTGGAGGAGCAGAGCGAAGGGCTTGAGTACCAGCAAGTCGAGTAACGTGGGGAATGTATGCGTCAATTCCTTGTCACGTACAGCCTCTGACTGGAGCGGTCGAGCGAGAACGCGAGATTGGACGGGTGTGAGGTGAGAATCAAGTGGTGGGTGTTACCGCGGCTTTGTTGGCTGATCGAGTTGAGTGCCCGCGAGGCGCGAGTATGTACGAAGCGGCATTCGTGATTCCCTGCTACCGCGTACATAGAAGTGTATCTTATTCGTGATTCCTGACCATGCAGCCTTCCCGGCCTTTCGGAGAGGCGGCGGCGGGCGTGCGTCTGTCTCTCCTTGGCTATGCTCTGCAAACTAGGCTGGCTGCCGCTCCCGCTAATCTTTGACTCTTGGTGCGCACGGCTGCTCACGACTACGTGCTGTCTGTCACTGCATGCATGCTGGAGCGCGAGGAGGACAATTAAGAGATGAGCGCATGCGCCTGCCAGCACGCAGCAGCAATAAAGGCGTGAGAGAGGTCAAGGACGTGGCGCGCCTCATC